GGGAAAGCTGGGATGCGGGAGTCCGAGAGGAATATTCATGGTGTGCTTTGCAACATATCATTGTGGCTGAACCTTATGGTGACTGACGCCACTGACCTGATCCCAGAAACTTTTCATGCGGTCATCGACTGGATGTTTATCCGTGAGCGCGTTACGAGCGGGCCTTCCGGGTTGCAGCGGCATTGCGGGCTGTGGCGTATCTGACAGCCACATTGTCAGACAGCATCCCCACGAGGGGAAAGGAAACTCCGGAGCTGTTTGTCACACAAGCGGCACGATTCCTCTCTCCCGTGGGCGAGCTTCCCGGTCGGCTAGACGTTTCATTGGAGGTTAGTTTCAGTAAGCAGAGACTAACGCTTCTTCAATAAATCAAGGACGGGGGAAGAGTTCAAAGCGGCGGTCAACGTATTTACGGATGGTTTCAGGGCGACGAACCAGGTCCCCAGGCTGTCGGATGACGGATTCGTTGATATCTCTGTCAAGATGATACTGCGTGACCACAAGACAGGCCAACTTTACTGGGACAACGCATTAAGATGGTATCAGTCTAAAATCACTCACCTTTTGCTGCAACAGCGTCGACTCCTATTTTTCTTTGTTAGCCAGAACATTGAAATCGTATTCGACTTTCTGAACGCCTACCAAAACGGGCGTATCGACTGAATTCACGCTCATAGTATACGTACGGTTTAAAAACTTAAGCCGTACTCCTGGCAAAAGTATGTCGATACATCATGTAGGGATTCTTCGCCACTCAAGCCAAAGTTATTTCATGTCTGTGGTTGCCCTCGTACTTCGGTAGTACGGGTGTTAAAATGGCATGGAAGGTGCACTCTTTAACATGCACCTTTGGCATACGCCATCATGAAGTGCAGTTCATCAGGGTTAATATGTCAAACAATCCTACGACTTAGATTGGGAGTCTCTTTCTTTTATATTAATGTGATCAGAAGTGTTCAGCGTTCGATTTACCGCTGGCTAGGCTTATTGCCGTGCTTGAGGACTAGAGTGGTTGCCCTGAGCAGAGGCAGCGAACGAACTTTCAAAAACAAGTAAATCCAAAACAACGATATATTTCGAGTAGCACCAAGTGAAATAAAAGTCTACATTGCCCGCGAGACCCTTCTCGAATGCCCTCCAGAGCCTGTGTTCGTAGGCGACGTCGCGGTCGGAGAAGGACTACCAAGCAGGCCGCCAACAAAATTCGAAACGCCTCGGGGCTGGGGTGTATGGCGAACACCAAATAGACGGACATTCGTTCCATTCCAAATAGCGAGAGATGCTGTTCCTTTAACGAATATTTCTCCCCAGATCATTGAGCTCAACCAAATCAACGAGGCATCGGACCACTGTACAATAAGCAATTTAACATTAAAAACTTCACACTCGAGCGGACCGGGTCAGGAACTTACCTGGAATCGTCTTGGGGTGATGGGCGGCGGCGTGGGTAGAGACCCACGTATATCAGCCACCCGCAGGAAGTCAATGATGTGCCCGATGTTGCTTGACGCTTTGGATGAGTTTTGAAGTTCTTGTATTTTCGGCAGCAGCTCTGATATTAATAAGAGCACGGTGTCCAGTGGTAGTCTAGCAGAAATGGAGCGTCAAGAATCAATGGCCCGCGCATTTGACAAGAGTAACCTACCCTTGTTGCCATGATGTTACCCATTCTTGGGTCGGCACAAACCCGTTCCTACCCACACCGGCCGCTGCAACGCTCAACAGTTCTGGTGTCATCTCTCCTTCATCTTCCTGCCCGGTTGCCGGTTCCTTCATCTTTCCTCGAGCCTTCTCCGACATCCCAGGCATAGACGCCGGCGGGCTCGATACCTGCATATTCGCGAACTGCCTTTCGGCAGAACCGACGCTCGGAGTAGGTGGCACGGGGATGGGGCGTTCTGTATCATCGTCGCGGGGTTGGGATAAAGCTGCCTCAGACGAAGCTCTGCTTAGCGACAACTTGTCCACGCTGCTATCTTCTAAGTTCGTAAAGCGAGATGACGGGGAATCATTCGACGCGGGTGTTGAGGTCGGCGATCCAACATCCAGAGCTTTGCCTTTCTCTCTCGGTCTCCCCGTTTTGATACGTTCAGCCTCTTCTTTGGCTTCTTTAATTCTTTTAATCTCGCGCAAGCCTTTCGCCAGTGTGAACGTGCCAAGATCCTCGAAGCGCTTGTGCGACCGAAGAATGGCGTAGATGAGGTTTGGATTCTCCTGGAATTGATGGTAAATAATCTGGTTGAAAATTTCAAGTCTAAGACGGGTTTAAATCGACGTCAGATTTACTTGAGCAGCGGTTGCAAGTGGGTCTCCTTACAGCAAGAAGACCAATCTTGGATGACCGTCATCGGCCAACAAGAAATTTGGATTGGAGAAGGAAGTGAACAGTTGAATGAGGCGAGTAGCTGAAGGTACTTGGAGATGTTGCATATTCGGTGCTGCGTTTGCCAGGGCGATCAGAAGCGCAGGATAAGTGAAGTTGAGTTGACCCGACGTTGTGGCGACGGTGTAGTAAACAGCCTAGGAATGAATTATTTAGATCGCATCTTTCGACCCCTCGCTCCTTCCCTTACCGAGATGAAGAAATCCGCCGTACAGCCTGGGACCGCCCATTTGGCGGGTATCACAATCCTGGAGGGAACCGGCAGAGTCATTTTTGTACCGAAGGCCGGTTCGGATGAAAGGGTCTGGATAATGTAGGACAAAGCTCGACACAGTCCGTGATGCTCTATAAGACGGTGAGCGTTATTAGACCGGACTTCGCGCCGTGGCTTGCAAGTGACATACGAGGCTTGTCCTTATGTTCCAAGCAGAACAGAAGCAGATAGACGAGAATTTCTACTACTTTGTCCGACTCGGTCAGATGTGTCCTGAATTTCTGTAGAGCTCTCAGGTGAGCCCAAATGGATCGTAGCCAGTGATCCCAGGTTCTTACCTTGTTCAATTCGACCATTTTCCAGAAAAACAAGACTAAGGAGAAGTGAGTTTGTTGCCTCGGTTTCCGTAACATAAATGTGGTACTCACATGTTTCCAGAACGTAGGGAACACCTTTCCGCGAACCAGGTAGTACATTATGTGTGGCATTCATGTGCTGTTCGAGGATCCCAAGGATACCGTTCAGAATATAGTCAAGGTCGGCAGGCCGGTGCTACAACAGAAAGATACCCTCAATGTTGTTTGTCATATCAACAACCGAGGAGGGCTTACCAGCTTCGCCAGGAAGTACCGGAACGAGTTCGTCACCGCTGTTGGCGCCACAGGAACCTCTATAAAGCCACCCGCCGCATTTGGAGCTACCGCTGGGGCCACGTTTCCACCAGTGACCGGAACATCACGTCCTTCGGCAGATTGATAGTCCAGAAGAGCGACTAAAACACCCAGGGATGCGCTAACTAGATGGGGTCGATTGTCTTCCTTCCAGACCAGGTGGTTATAAGGCAACTCTTTGACCATGCCTCCGACACCATTAATCACACCTCCTACGGTCGGCATGAGTGCTGTTGGGGCCTTATACGAACCGCTGTTCATGGCCGTGTTGAGAAGCGAGCATAGGATAGGAAGGACGAGCCTCCGAGGAGTTCGATGATTGTGAACAAGTCGAGAAATGCAAGGATTGGTGAGGAGCAGGACATGAGATGGCGACATGTAGATGGTTTTGGACAGAAGAACCTCAAAGAATCGAAGGACCTCGATCTTGTTTGCGTCAAGTTGACTTGAAGATTGTACTTCCACGGTGGATCCAATGCCTTTCTCCCTGAAAGGTATTTTTGTGGTCAGCAGCAGTCCAAAAAGCTGAAATAAAGCGCTTACCAGATGGTGTAGTTAACCTTATGGTTATCGACTTTGAACTTCGAAGGAATAGTGAAGCCACAGCAGAACATCAGGTCTATTGCAGTAGACAGTAGCCTATCTGCAAGCGCTGGTTCTAACTCTTCTTCACTGACGGCGACTGAAGGTCGAGTTGGGGTCGCCGCTTCGGGAGGATCGTCTTCACCATCTTCATCACTATCGTCTTCCTCGATAACAAACTGGGCTTCTTGATCGTCTGACGTAGGCTCGTGAGGAGAAGCCTGCTTCTTCTTTCGTTTCCATAAGATCTCCTCTTCCAGGGGACCTTCACTTTCGTAAAGGATTGGGATGACCCGTCCAAGGACTCGAAGACAATTCAAGAGCTCTTTAGTGCTGTCTCGTGCTGATGAGCCAGAGACAGAGGCCCAAGTTGCAGCGATGTTCGCCACAGGCGGGAAGGCCGATTGCGGCGGAGAAGGGAAGGTATGATCGCCCATCGTACGGAAGAGCCGAGCGGATATGACATCTATAAGGGTTTTGAGGTTCTCCGGTGCCTCGTTCAACGCCCTTCTGACTGATGTAACAGAGACTAATCAGCGCCCAGACTATGCAAACTTGCTGGTTTCGACCTACTGTCATTAGATGAGATGAGGGAGTAAACGTCGGACGCCGAGTCGAAGAGCTCGACAAACTTCGGGACACAACTCATGCTTAGTTCAAGTGGCTTGGGAGAACATAGTGGACGTGTTCTTACCTGAGACCAATACTTGTCGTCAGTAGCTGGGATGTTCTACGTGAAGAGCGCGTCAGTGCGCCAGTTGATATTGGAATTGCAGTTAACGACAACGTACCCGAGCTTCTGCGAGTCTCCGAATCCCCGAGGGCTGAGTACGAAAGGCAAGTTTAGGATCATCTCCAATGATCCCAAATGAAGTCGAAAGTCTTTTGGGTAGCGAGAACATTGCGACTGGAAGCTTCAGAGCTGGAGCGCAGCACCCCGAGACCGCGGGAATGCTCGTCAGCTTCGCCGAAAGATTACATAAGTAGTCATCACATCTAGAATGGGCGCGATGAGTTTAATAGGACGCTACTCTCGAGTGGGGTTATAAGCTATGATGATAGAATAAAAGCATCTTCAAGGAGCTGATGCCTACAAAGAAAATGGATTCTCAGCATAAAAATATGCACGGTAAACATAGGATCATGCAAAAACCCCACGCGGGACTCGAACCCGCAACCTCCAGATTTCATAATAGAAGTCTGACGCCCTAGCCATTGGGCTAGTGGGGCGAATAGTTAGTTTTTCCGGTGTAAATTACTATTACCGTTGGTATTTTTCAGTGCAAAGGTCTTTAAAACTTCATTACTCGAGTAAAATCTGTTATAATAACTAAAGCTTAAGTCTGTGACCCGTCGGTGGGTAGTCCGTTATGGGACGGGGCTTCTCTGTGACCTCTCCCGTCGTCCGGAGGACTGAAGAGGCTCTAATTGCATCCCTCTTCAACGTATACTCCAGCGTCTTCATACTGCCTTCCTAGCTTTGAACCTGCGCATTATGGCGACTATGCGTGTTGTGGAACGAACGACTCGGAGACCAGACTGCGGCAGATCACCAGCAGGACGCCCCTTCCACCGAGAGACGCATGAAGATCAGGCAACCTTCCAGATAGTGCGAACGAGGACTGTTCGCACGACGCGGCGCCTCTAAAGTACCTTGGGATCCTCCGACCCATCGTCATTCCGGTTGAATTACCTGCGAAACTGACTTCCCGTATAGGCCGAGAGATACAATGATCATAAGTGTTGGGCAGACGTCATAGAATAGTCGTAAAAAATGATGAAATAAGGAAGGAATCAAGTATCTGGCACAACCCAGAGAACCTGCTTTTGAACCCGGCAGCAAAGGCTTTCGCCCCGCACACTTGAAACCGTCAACTGCATCCGAAATCGAGACATTTGAATGGGTTTTTTTGTATTATGGTATACGTGTTAATATGAGGGAGAACGTGCGGGGGTGGACGTACAGCACAATATTAACTTGGAAATGGGGACGGGATGGCAAGTGTAAAAAAGCGAGGGAAAAGAAAAGAACACGTTACCATACCAATGATATGTAAGACAAGCACGATGTATATGTATATACGGACGGACGATCAGAAACTAATCTGGCGCAATAGATGAGGAACCTCGAGACCCGAGTCTAATTCCGGCACCACTGTTCGAAGCACACTCTTCCCTTTGAAAGGCGCAACGACTGGCTGGGGGAGCTCCTCGCGGGGAGTCTCCAGGGCACTGCTCGAGCAGCTCGCGGACGAAACCAACCCGGAGTCGGTGTCGGTCTCTGCAACGCGGGCAGGTGGTGAAGAAGGCGCTGGCTTACGGTATCGGAAGTACTTCTGATAACGAGGCGGGATACGCGGGACTGCCACGATCGACGCGTCAGAATCAGAATCGGAGTCTGAACCTGAGGCGTCCATGGTTGCTGCAGTGGATCCGATGCGAGGTGCACCAGGTCGCTGGCGGCCGCCGGGACGACCAGAGGTATGAGGTGGAGGTTGCTGCGAAGGTTGAGCTGGCTCGTCTTCCTCTTCCTCCTCGTCATCATCTTCTTCCTCGTCGTCTGCTGGGAAACGCCCAGAGAGGTCAGACTTTGCAAGTTGCAGCAACGTGATGAATAACTTACCACCCTCAAATAGGGATGACGTGTGTCTTCCTCGATCATCATGTTCCGACTCCTCATCAAACTCCTCATTATCCAACCACCGTCCCTTGTGGTCAACCCGATCAAGCTCTTCCGCGGTTTCAGGTCGCATACGCAACCACTGCATACGAGGACCGCTCCTAGCTCTTTCACTGACTCTAAACCCGTAGATTTTGGGGATGTAAATCCTTCCTGCAGGCGCCTTTTGACCTCCGTTCGGATTCGGGTTCACAAACGTCGGAGCATTATAGGTCCCGCTGGGTGATCGTGCCGAGGTATTGACAGGTTGAGGGGGAGGGCAATACGGTGCAGGAGCAAGTTCGCGGAAAGTCTGGAAGAGCAAGTGAGGGAAAGTGGTTCCAAAGAAAGCCCCTATTGACAGATGGCAAGGGTTGAGATGTCAAGGGTTAGGTTAGCAAGGGTCTGCGTCAGGCACGAGGTCGACCCCGCATTGGCAACGGTGTAGCGCGTGCTTGACTCACCATCAACGCCTTGGAATCGACTGCTAGGTGGTGTATAGATGTCGTTGCAGTTGGGGCAGTAAAGCTTGACGGTGTCAAGACCAGGGAGATCGGTTCGGCCGCAAGGCGCGACGTGAGTGGAGTGGCAGTACACTCGTGGACACGTTCCGAAGTGACCAGCTTCGTATTTCTCGACCTATCGAAGGCGGAAACGGAAAGTCGTCAATAAACGTAACAAGAACTCAAGAAGACTAGCAACGTACCATTGCTTGAAGGCCGGGTCGCGTAAGGATATACCGTTGATGCACCAACCCATACAACAGCTCCGCCGACGATTCCACGATAGTCACGTCTGGTATCTTCAATGAATCCTCTTAGAAACGAAACCGTCCACAAAAGGATGCGACACTAGAATTAGCAATTCGCTCATCCTCCCGAGAACAGGACGTTACCTGGTTCAACATCCAGAACCATTTCCATCGCCTCTTTCCAAAAGGGTACCAGCGAAGCCAATCCAGTCAAGTTGAAGTCGTCCTCGATGAAATCCTCGCTAACTTCGCAAAAGTATTCGTGTCCAGGTAACGAGCAGAACCACGCTATCCATGTGAGTGTCGAGGTTGGGGTGGACGACGCTGTGTGTGTGAGAGAAGGGATAAAGGGGCGGTCGGGTCAGCAACCCAAGTTAGGACTCCCCCTTCCACGAAGTCATCCTCCTCCACACCAACGACGAAGCAAGCTTCGCCCAAATGCTCGCGCTGTCCTTTAGACGCAAAGCACGCCCGAGGGAGCGCAGAATTCGAGTGGTGGGCAAGGGCGAACGTACCATACCCTTCCTCCCCAACTTCCTGTTGATCCTCCATGATAGGCTGCTGTCCAGCACCAGCACCTCCTCCTCCGTTATAAGCCGCCGCCTCGTGCTGAGCGTTAATGTAATTTTGGTCGTAGTTTGGTGGTCTAGGCATATAGATAAGACTCGAGATTTGTTGCCGGCCAACAAGAAGAGAGAGAGAAAAAGCAAAAACGAGGAGGCCCGAGAAACCCCTTCGACCAGAGGTGAGGTCGGGATTTGGTCGATGTTGGAATCCCACCAAGGCACGCGCGGCGCGGCGAGGCTGGTCGCTTGTCTGTGTTTGCTTGGGGTCCTTGTTTCCCGCGCCTCAGAACCACACGCTCGCTTCTCCGTTGCTACGACTCGCGTGTCTTCCCGTTTCGCCCATTTCTATTTCTCTCATCTTGACTAAAGGATACTATATATTAGGATAATGTCCGAATCCTCGAACTCGCTTTCAACAGAGAAACTGGCTCTTCCAGCCTTTTTGAAAATGCTTACCTCTTCAGGCCTTTCCATGGCGGACGCAATGGGAGTGACTAAGAAAATGTACGACTAGAGATCCCCTTCCACATCGTTATCTACTCCGTGTATCTAACGCTCAACTGCTCATCCTAATATCTATGTCGGATTACTGAAATAACCACCACCACTCGCACCGGTACCGACGAACCCGCACAGCTTCCCGACTCACAACTCCCCAGCGCAACTCGCCGACCTCACACCAGTGAAACTAATCGAACTTCATGTCGACAGCAAAGACCATCGAGGCATTATACTAAAAGCCATAAAAACGGCTGGATACGTCGCACCGCCTGGTAGCAAGAAAGGGTCCAAGAGGAAAGCTGGAGATGTAGAGGACGACGGCAACGACCGAGCAGCATCTTCTTCCTCTTCAGCTAGGACAAAAGTGAGTCGAGCAGAGAAGTTCCTGGGTCTAATCGCGAAGAACGCAATCGGAGGACTTAATTCCTGTCTGACCAGACGAGTAACAAAACCTCAACTCCATCCAAACGACCACGCCGAAAGGAGCCATCTCCAGCACTCCCAGATCCAGATTCAACTCCACCAGATGAACGAGAGAGTGTGGTTCCAGGCGGCTTCAACTTTGACGAGATTCTCGACGAGGGGGTGCGTTCTCTCCCTCTCTCTTCGCCCTCGATTGCGATCGACAAGTCTTTGACGATTTTCGCTTCTTTCGCCTGGATACCGGAACTTCAACCCGATCCAAAAAAAAAAAAAAGACACTCAAACTCAAATCCACACACGCGAATCGTGCACCTGTAATGACAGCTTGGGCGACTGTGGTAGCAGAACGAATGGGGTTCAAGCGGGAGGAAGCGTTGAGCATCGGTGAGCTTTTTTTTTTCTGGGGAGGCCTTCTCTCTCCCTCTCTGTGTGTTTGGTTTTCCCTCTCCCTTCACATTCAACCACCATCATTGCCTCCGATCTCGAGCTGGAATTGGATTTCGAAGTGTATCACTACATCCGCTTTCGGATGTGGCGTTCCAGCCAGCCGTCCCTTCCTTCTCTCAGGGGTCAAGGCAAAGTGACGTTTGCTTATGTTTTTTACGGCGACTGACGAGAGATCGAAGAGAGACCAGAAACTGGAAAAGGCTAACTTCCTTTTACCTTTGCTTTTTGCTATTCTTGGCTTTCTCTCCTCCAACTTTTCTCCTTTCTGTTTCTTGTCGTTCGTAAACCTGTCGTCAACTTACATGATCCACGCACGGCAAAGCTTCCGTTTACACCGAAATGAACGCGGCATCCAAGGGCGTATCGATAGGGATCTATGCGCCTTCCAAGAACAACGAATATGAGGCTGGTTCGACGCAGCCGTTTGTTGATCTTTTGGGCCGAAAGTAAGGGTGCTTTCTATTGCGTTTTTCTCTAGCGTGGTCGCTGATGATAGGTTTTTCCCTTGCAGGATGTGAGGACGCCAAATATACACTTGGGCTGAAAAGGGTGTTAATTGGTTGCCCTCTCTACCCTACATAGCCCAGTATTGGAGAAAGAGAACGGCCAATGGCGTGGACTTATCAAGGGGACTCCGGTAGACCCTGCATCGGTTCGTCTATTCGCAGCTTGCCGTCCGCATCCAAGATCACCGACTGATATCAAGTCTAAATTACTCCCTACGTGCCGACACCTCTATCCCGAACCTTTTCAGCCCTTTGGGTACATCCAACGGAGCTTCCGACAGACGACTCCAGCCGTTTTAGGAGCGATGCGATTGCTGGCGCACTCGTACAGCGCCAAAGAGCTGAACGAGTTAGGGTACTCGCTGTATTGCGATTTT